TTATCAAATATATATATATATATATATATATTAATCTTTTTCTTTTACCCTTGATTTTTATTAACCGTCCGATCAAACGATTGGACGGTCGAGATCAAACCAAAGACTAAAAGACCCCTACTCTACCACCACCGCCCTATACTCTGTTCTATTGAAGACACTACAATTATTTAGCTAGTTAGTAATTAGCTAAATTAGTTAGTTAGTTGTAGATTAGCTGACGTGGCAGAGTAGTTAGTTAATAGTACAAGTTAGTTATAACTAACTTGATCAGTGGTGTGAAGAAAAGCACATGTATATATATTTTGTAGAATACTCTGTAACCAATTCATTCAATACAATACACAATTTTATTCTTTACTGTTGATCTTCTTCATCTTAGACTCACAGAACCTCCATTGGAGGACTTGACATGGCATCAGAGCTAGAGATCGGATCAACAAAAATGGTTACTGAAAATGAGCTCGTTATTCCTTATACACACCCTCTCTACTTGTATCCATCGGATACCAACTCTCAATCAGGCGTATGCAATGATAATGGAGGAGGAGAGTCAAAGTTCTAATGTGGATCGTAATACCTTAGGATTGAAAGTTGTATCTGAAGGAAATTATATCACAACACTATTGACTACTGCGAAAACTTTTCCAAAACCTCGATACAAGAATCTTAATGCCTTTTGTGAGCACTACAAGACGAAAGGTCACATGAAGAGTGATTGTTTTCAGCTAGTAGGATATCCTATTTGGTTTAAAGGAAAGAAGAAAGAGGGATACAATGTGCAGTATAATGGATCTGCTTCACCTCATACTCCACCTGTGTTTAATCCTGAGTATGGTGGTCATAGTGCAGGACATATGCCTACACCTCTTTATGGCAATTTATCATTTACTCACAATCATAATGCTGCAGGTGATATTGGCAGATCTGTTGGGGGCAATAGTCACATAGGAACTCACACTCATGGCACTGCTGGTTTTTATGGATCTTCTGTATCTACAACTCCAGGATCTGGTGTTTTTACTCGAGCATCTGCAGATATGTGCATTCCTGGATATGGAAATACAGGCACTCATGGTCATGGAGTTGGTGGAATAAATATGGCTTTCACAGGAGCTCACTCATCTGATACTGCATGTATTTTCAATTGCTCTGTAGTACATAATTCACCTGGTCCTAGGTGGATAGTAAACACAGGGTCCACTAATCACATGACATCTACTCCTACTTTGCTTTGTGAAACTCAATGTTTTCCTCTAAATGAGCTCAACAAAGGTCACATGCCTAATGGTCAACAAGTACCAATTGCTCTTACTGGGAAATCTAGACTCATGCAGGGAGACATATCTCATGTTTTGTATATTCCTGATTTTAACTACAACTTGTTATCAGTTTCTAAACTGACTAGAGAATTACAATATTGTATGGTGTTTTATCCTGATCATTGCCTACTGCAGGACCTTCACACTGGGAGGTGAAGGGTACTGATAGTCTGGAGAATGGTTTATACTATTGGCCACACAATGATGCTTCCATTATTGCTCCTTCAACTGCTTTAAGCGTGGTGGATACTGTTGATCTGTGGCATAGAAGACTAGGACATATTCCTCACAAGGTTCTTCAGCAAATGCATATACCACATGTATCAATTACTTCCAAATTACCTTCTTGTCCTGTTTGTCCATTGGCAAAACAAACTAGGTTGCCTTTTCCTCAAAGTACTAGTAGGTCTAATAAAGTTTTTGAGCTGCTTCATCGAGATGTTTGGGGTCCATACAGAACCCCCACTTATGATGGCAATAGATATTTTCTTACTTTAGTAGATGATTGTAGTAGGATGGTGTGAATATTTTTTCTCAAGCAGAAAAGTGATGTGTTCTTTGTACTGAAGGATTTTCTGACTTTAATAAACAGGCAGTTTGATGGCTTTATCAGAGTTTTCAGAAGTGATAATGGTTCTGAATTCTTTAACTTTCATTGTCATGATTTGTTCAGATTTGCAGGCATTATTCATCAAAGCTCTTGTGCCTTTACCCCTCAACAGAATGGGGTTGTAGAGAGGAGACATAGGCAGATTCTAGAGGTTGCTCGAGCCATTAGGTTTCAAGCAAATTTACCTATCAGATTTTGGGGTCTATGTGTACAGAATGTTGTTTACTTAATCAATAGAGTGCCATCTACTGCTCTTGCAGGGAAATCTCCATTTGCTACATTTTTTAGAAGGGAACCTTGTTTGAAACATCTCAGGGTTGTTGGCTGTTTATGCTATGTTGTTAATCATAGTACCAATGGTGACAAGTTTGATCATAGGTCTATTATCAATGTTTGTGGGATATTCTACTACACAAAAGGGGTATAGACTATATAATTTGTCCACCAAGTCCTTTTTTGTTAGCAGAGATGTCATTTTTAGAGAGGATGAATATCCTTTCAATTCTACTCTGACTGAGATTCTTGAACCCTGTCTAAATAATCCTTCTGACATGTTTGTTTATGATGATCAGAATACTTCTATTTTATGACCAAATATTCCTATTGCACCACTTGAATTGCCTCATATACCCACTGTTCAGCCTCATATACCCACTGTTCAACCTCCACTTTTCTTACCTTTTGAGGATCTTGTTCCTCTTAACAATGATCCCAGTCTTAGAAGGTCGGGTAGATCCTCTAAACAACCTGGTTGGCTACATGGTTTTGTCCATACTATTGCTAGTTTTCTTTCACATCATGTCCCTTGTTCTACTGCTCATCCTATGTCCACTTATATGTCTTATGCATCCATATCCCCTGCTTATTTTCAGTCCTTGTGCAATTTCTCTGCTATACGGGAACCTCCTTCTTATGAAGAGACCATGCAAAACCCACAGTGGATTCAAGCCATAGATCAAGAACTGCAGGCTCTCCATTACAACCACACTTGGGAATTGGTTACACTGCCTCCTGGAAAGAAGGTTATAGGGTGTAAGTGGGTCTATAAAGTCAAGTTTAATGCTCAAGGAGAGGTTGAAAGGTATAAAGCTCGACTGGTAGCTAAGGGTTACACCCAGCAAGAGGCCTTGGATTACCAGGAAACATTTTCTCCGATTGTCAAGATGGTTACAGTGAGGGTGGTTCTTTCTTTGGCTGCTATGCATGGCTGACATTTACATCAGATGGATGTGTTTAATGCATTTCTACAAGGTGATTTAGTGGAAGATGTGTATATGGTTCCTCCACCTGGCCTACTTAGCCAGGGGGAGTCTCCTTCAGTTTGTAAGCTCATGAAGTCACTTTATGGCTTAAAACAAGCATCTCGTCAATGGAACTTAAAGCTCTATGAATCTCTTCTAAGTTCAGGTTTTCTGCAAAGTCATCATGACTACTCCTTGTTCAGCAAAAGTTCTGGTTCTGATTTAGTTCTCATCCTCGTTTATGTGGATGATCTTTTGATCACTGGTTCATGTTCTCAGTTAGTTCTTGCTACCAAGCTCATGCTTCAGACTCATTTCAAGATCAAGGACTTGGGGGAGATGAGATACTTCCTTGGTTTTGAAATTGCCAGGAACAAGGAGGGTATCATGGTAAGTCAAAAAATGTTTGCCTTAAATCTTATCTCAGACTTTGGTCTTGTAGGGACCAAACCAGTTAGTACACCTTTAAAGGTTAATCAAAGGTTCACTAGTCAGGAGTTTGACATGCATTTGGAACCTCAGGAAGCATATGAAGATATGATACCCAATGATCCCTCAGGCTATCAGAAACTCGTTGGTTAGTTACTTTACCTCACCATGACAAGGCCGGATATCAGCTATGCAGTACAGAATCTTAGCCAATTTATACACAAACCAAAGAAATCTCACATGGAGGGTGCATTGAGGGTGGTCAGATATTTGAAGAATGCACCAGATCTGGGAATTATGTTATCATCCAAAGCCTCCAAGCAACTCTCAGTTTATTATGATGCTGAATGGGCCACTTGTCCTATGATAAGGAAGTCTGTGAGTGGTTTTGTAGTAAAGATTGGAGACTCTTTGATTTCATGGAAGTCGAAGAAACAAAACACAGTGTCAAGGAGTTCGGCTGAAGCAGAATATAGGAGCATGGCCAATGCAGTGGCAGAAATTGTATGGTTAATAGGTTTGTACAAAGAGTTGAAAGTGGAATTGGAATTGCCAGTAAGGCTATTTTGTGATAGTAAAGCAGCACTTCAAATTGCTGTTAATCCTATATACCATGAAAGGACGAAACATATAGAGATTTATTGTCATTTCATTCGAGAAAATATACATGAGGGCCTTATTCAAACAAATCATGTACCTTCAAAAATGCAACTGGCAGATGTACTGACAAAGAGTTTGAGAAGAACTCAACACGATTTTTTACTGTCCAAGCTTGGTGTATATAATATGTTTGCACCGTACAGCTTGAGGGGGAGCATTGAAGACACTACAATTAGTTAGCTAGTTAGTAATTAGCTAAATAAGTTAGTTAGTTGTAGATTAGCTGACGTGGCAGAGTAGTTAGTTAATAGTACAAGTTAGTTATAACTAACTTGATCAGTGGTGTGAAGAAAAGCACATGTATATATATTTTGTAGAATACTCTCTAACCAATTCATTCAATACAATACACAATTTTATTCTTTACTGTTGATCTTCTTCATCTTAGACTCACAGAACCTCCATTGGAGGACTTAACATGTTCTTCTTCCAAAATCACATTCACACTTTCATCTTCCCCAAATATCACCTCAACATTTTCCTTTTTCCAAAAAAATCGGACGCTCCAGGCTCCTCTCCATCACCTCCCCCACGTGCTCCCCCATACCCTTCGTCAGAACGGCTCTGCTCGCCGGAAAAATTCCTTATCAGTCACTCAATGCTTTCAAACCCGCCTGAAAAGGCGATTCTTGGGGGGATTTTTCTCCCCCTTCATCATTAGTCCTCCCATTTTGGCTTTTCAAGAATTCAAAATTTGAATTCTTGAAGCCAATAGAGGTTGCGATTTTGGCTATAGAAAGGAGCCATTTGGTTCCTTCTAAGAACAGAAAAAAAGGATCCAAAAATCAGTTAAAAACATCCAAGAATCGACGCAAAAAATCCATCAACAAACTGAAAACATCCGGAAAATCATAGAGTTTCAGAAATAAACAAAAGGGTAACACAAAGCTTTTAGAGTTCGAAAGTTCTATTCTGAATTCGAGTTTTGAGGAAGTTTGGAGTCGAAATCTCTTGACGTCAAAACTCTTGTTTGCTGCTCCAAATGAGGTACAGAAAAATAGTGAACTGTTAATTTGAATTAGTGTCTTATTTTCGCCATGACTTATCTTATTCTGAAAACTAGCTGAATCAATGTTTCGTTTTTATTCAAAATAGTTTGAATGTTCATTGTTATAGAACCTTATTATGTTAGACAAATCTTTGTCCTATTATTCTTGCGCTTATTTTCGAGTACAAATCAATAGTTGTTGCCTGGATTAGTAGAGTTTAATTTGTTATGATCGTCTTGCAGAATGAATGATTCTTTCATTTCTATTAATTTGGTTATCCCTTTTGTTATTAGAGGTTGTCCAGGTTTAGTTTGGTCGTGTTGTTTTCCAAGAATTGTTGGTATTGTTTGTCGTTTGTTGTCAGATAGTATTATGACTTGAACATGCCTCGTCTAAGTTATATTTGTCTAAACACATACAGTTAAGACCATTAGAGTCATCCTAATCTGTATTGTTACGCCAATTTTTTTAGCTTTAGTTGATTGGTTCACCTTTTAGCTAAAAATATTTAAGTTAAAGAGTTTGGAATGTGTTCGCTGCCCAAATATCTGCATGTTAAACATTTTTGACATGGATTGATGAATATTTGCACATTAAAATCTTTCTCCCTGTATCAATCAAGTTTTGGGATGGTAAATATTTCCCCTGTTTTCAGTTTTAAAATGGTGGCATGATACTTTGTTATCGTTCTGCTCTAAATTGGTCTTAATATTAATTAGCACTCAAATGACTAAGCAATCGCTCGACTTTCTGCCCCCTATTTGTTTTAGACTTTTGGTCTTAAAGTCAGTAATGAAGAAAAGAATTTTAATTTTGCTCAAAACATGTGAAGTAACTTATTACCCGTAGCCTTTCTCTGCCCATTTGGTGTGTTTCCAGTTGGTATTGGTTGTTGTCTCTCTCCTCATGATATCTGGACGTACAATAGAACATGAACAAATATGTGAATGCAAATGCCTCTTTCTATTTACTAAAATGCACTACTTATTTGCTGAAAGTTGGCAAAATTCAAATTGTACATTGTTGTTGTCTTATCTTATTGTGAAGTACATAAGATTAATTTTTGGTCTGCTAGCTCGTCCTAAGATTTTGCATTTTAGCTAGTTGTTTGTAAAATATGGAAACCCGCAGCTGCTTGTTTGTTAATATAAACTCGAGTTAGAATCTGCCTATAAAGCGCAAGACATGTCTATATTTCTGCCTTTGAGTTTTACAGCGATTTTGTGAGATGATTTGTGTTGCTCTCTGCTTTTAAGTGACATCCACGTTTAGGCCGATGTTTTGCATTTTAAAATTTTCATAAGCAATCTCATTGTTTCGAAAGTCAAATTCCATTTAAAGTTCGAGGGGCCTAGATTCTAAACTTTGTTTACGCCTTTCAAGGGTAGCCAAGCTTTGTCTAAATAATTTTTTTTATGTGGGAATGAACCATTTTCTGGCTTTAAAGATCAGTTTTTTCACCTGTTGCTGGTTCATCCTATACTATATAAAAAATGTTTTCTTCTTCTTATGTTCCATGGTGTATAGGAGATGCCACCGTGAAAGGTTATTATTCATTTGTTTATCTCCGTTAATGAATTTTATGTTCATTAGTAAATTAATATCTTTTATTTTGTTTTCTTTTCCTTTAGAAGCATGACATTGCTCCTTTGAGCTTATGCTTCTTAATTTGCTTCTCTCTTTTTTCGTAGTCTTTTAAATTCCAAGTATGTAAGAATGTGATCATGTTTTGTCCTTGGATTAGGCCATATCATAATTATTCCTTCTAAATAATATTATTCTAGTCATTCTTGTAGTAGTCGTAACTTGCTTGAATTCTAATTTGGTTATATTCCACTGATTTGAAGTTTATAATTTTTTCCTTTTTTTTTATTTCACATGTACACTCGGAGCGCATTTGGAGTTGTGATACGACTCCATTCATCTGTCCCAAATCAAATTTGTGCTCATCGATACATTATAAGCTCGTGTCTAGCAGCCTTTATCGCGTCAATAGTGTCCAATGCTTCCTTCTCGCTTCAAAGTTTCATGTGCCTTATATACATATATGTGTTGCTATTTTTGACTAACATTTTCCATATTTTCGTATTTATGTTTATGCTTGCTTTTATTTTGTTTGGTTTGGAACAACTAAGAATGATGGTAAAGTATAGTCGTTCACCCCCACATCCCTTTAGGTATTGGGTTTATTATAATTATTTAGTTTAGAATGACATTTTTCAACTAAATTTTATTTGTTACTTGACACATTTTGGTGGTTATGAAAACATATCTTTTAAAGAAGTTCACACGGGAATAATATTTTCAGCTGTTGTGAATTTATTTTCAGATTTTTCTCTTTATAAACAAGTATTTAAAGTACAAGTTTAGCAACTTAAAGTTTGATATTTTGGGTCTCAAAAGTGCAGATTTTGGTGGTTCAAAGTGCAGATTTCAAGGTTAAATATATCACCTTTCTTGAGAGTTTAAGAGTGGTATATTGAGTCCCAAAAATGCAGTGTTTTGAGCAAAAAGTGCAGTGTTTTCAGCCCAAAAAGTACAGCGTTTTGAGCTCAAAAGAATGCCGAATTTGAGCTCAAATTGTGCATGATTTGAGCACAAAAAATGCAGATTTTAAGCTTAAAAAACTGCACCTTTAACAAGCTTTACAAAGCAGATTTTTTTTAAGTTTAAAAAATTATTTTGCATAACTTAAAGTATAGATTTTTTTGAACTAACCGTTATTCTTCGAGATCTTAAAAGTACAATAATTTGGGGTCCAAAGGTGCTTTAAACACTACTTTCGAAAGGAAGAAGAAACGTTATTTTAAAAGCTGAAAATGGATGTTATAAAGCTCGCTAGAATTGTTACCTTTTTAGTCTTGAAAACACACGGCTTAAGTTATTCGTTTCGAGAAGGACCAAAATATTCATTAGCTTTATCTATAAACTCTCACTTAGGATAAACTCTCACTTAGGACTTTATGTTAAGGAAAAACTTATCCTTTAAAACTCTCAAATGATTTTGAAACTAGCGTAAGGCTAAAGTTGTTACCGTTTTAGAAATATTCCTTTTTTTTAATAAGTAAATAAATAAGGAAATAGGTCTATATATTTTATTAACAAAAACAAATGTAACTATAGAATAAGTCTCAATTGTTAACCCCATTTTATATTCTTGACATCACCCCTTTATGAAAGTTTATTTGCTATTGTCACTTTTTTTTTAAATCAAATATTACTAAAACATTTTTAACATGTTATTTCAAGATTTTAGATATGCCAACAGGTTCAAAATACAAGGTACATACATATATATGTCATATGCAAAAAGGTACAAATCCTATATATGTTTTTTTTTGTTTTCTCTACATGTAACTTATTATTTTGTTACATTTCATATTATTATTATTTTCTCATATCTACTATCACTTTTACAAATGTTACTTTTTTTTTACATATAATTTATAAATCCATACACTTTAACCTACACATTATTTTACTACATGTTTGCAACTCGACTACTATATCATTTTATTTTATTTTCTTTCACATCTTAATTCTATATATAAATTAAACAACATTTTTTTATATCCTTTGAGCTCAACATTTATTTTGGTTACATTTATATAAAACACATCTATATTTTTCAACATATAAAATTATCATATATTTTAGCACATTTATTTATTTATTTATATTACCGTATGATAAACATACTACTATTAATTTTATAGACATATATACGTCGTACCTTGTATTTTACTCTTTTTCTAAAAATAATAAAATTTACTTACCATTGATATTTAAAGAAAAATAAAATAAATAAACAAGTTTTCTTAATTATATTTTCCTAATTGAGTTTAAGAACTATCTTCGAATAGGCTCTGAGGGATACTTAATACCTTCCCCTCGAGTAACCAAAACCCTTACTCAGAATCTCACTGGTTTCGCAAATCAAAACAGAGTTTACATTTACATATTTAAAAAATGGGTTTCCTAATATTTTCCTTAAAATTTAGGTGGCGACTCTAAAATAAAAAAAAATCTTTCAAAATCAGAGTGTTAGCCGTATTATGTTGTGAACTATTTCGGCTAGTTCGAAATATGGTGCGACACCCTTGTCCTGGTTTTCCTTTTATATATTTGACTATTCTAAGTGTTGCATCCATGTGAGTCTGTTTTGGTGTCTGCAAAAACTGACTAAGTGTTTGAACACTATAGGATATGTCTGGTCTAGTTACTGTAAGATATAGAAGTTTTCCAATAAGTCTTTGATATGCCCCTTGATCAACTAGTGCTTCATTACTTGAACTTGGACCTTCCTTGATATGCTGATCATATTCAGTGGTAGTTAGTTTTGTAGTTGTGTCCATACGAGTGGATGATGGTTTTGATGCACTCAGTCTAGTTTCTGATATAAGCTCAAGGGCATACTTCATTTGATGCATTATAATACCTTGTTGAGACCTTGCAAATTCTATGCCCAAAAAATACTTCACTTCGCCAAGATCCTTCATTTTAAAGTTCTGATGTAGTGCTTCCTTGGTTGCTAGGATTTGATCCAAACTATCTCCAGTGACAAGTATGTCATCTACATATACCAACACAACAATCATTCCTTCATTTGTTTTCTTGATATGTAAAGAGTGATCAAACTGACTTTGTCTGAAACCACAATTGATTAATGTTTTGGATAGTTTTGCATTCCATTGTCTTGGTGCTTGCTTTAATTCATATAAGGATTTTGAGAGTCTACATACACTATCCCCCTGAC